CCTGCATCCTCCTTCAGAAGTCGAGGAAGGAGCGACACAACTCCTGTGGCAAAGCAGCCTGCAATAAAATTAATTACACCATTATATCAGTCCAGGTTCTGCCAAGCTACGCCTGAAACATCTTCAACTGGTGATTTTGATTTGTCAAGTTAATTTCCTCCGCTATCACTGCAACTGGGAACACTTGTGGATTGCCATGGTCCTAGCTAGTACTGCTCGCAGAGGAGTTGATATTGACAGAGAAAATGCAAGTTTTGCTATTCGTCTCAAGATCAAACCGTGTCGCCACCGTGCGGCCAAAATCGGAAACATGCTGCCGCGCGTCGTCTGCTTCGGGCGCACATTCACAAGCATGAATCTGGACAATGCAAGCCCGTTTCCAGCTGAGCTGGACCCTCCTTATTAGATGTTTGATGTTTTTGTTGTTGATTCTTCTTACTAAACCTTGTATTGTGTTGTATTGTTTCACATGTGTGGAAATTCAACAAAGCGATAAATATTAGGCCGGAGGCTTCCATAATCTTAGTGCTGTGGTTTGTAGAAACTTTGGTCCTACATATCCTTGTTAACTCGCATAATCCATAGCTTTCATAAAATGTTAAATATTGATTGGAGCTGGGGGTTAAATAAAAAAATTAACCTGACTGATCGCCAACCGTTGATAGAATAATCAATCGATAAACCCGTTGATTATTCTCCAGTCACATTACATAGAAGACTTTAAACTACACTTCTTTTACTATTTTTACTATCTCGTAAATGGCATATGGCATTCCAATTTTAAACTTTGCAATGTGACGCTTACAGAAATGTGAATAAGGAAAGCCTTTTAAAGTGAAGTAATTTTTAAGTCATTATTTAAACAGTATAATCCTCCCCGATGACAATTACAGGCATGCCGAAGTGGTTTACCGTGCACTCTGTCCTAAAACAACTTTTACTTTTCCTGACTTTCACCAGCACAAGATTTCGATTAAAAGACAAAAAGAAATATTGCAATTAAGGCATCACTGAAATAATCTGAAGATTAATCGATGAACTGCGCAACCCCAATATGCATTAGGTGAGGGCAGAGGGTGACGTGAAAGTCTCGTGAGAGTCGCTAGCCCTCATCAATAAAATAATGTCGCTGCAGCCGATGCTGTTTGTGTCGTGGTGCAGGTCGTTTGTTGGAATCGCAGAGTCTACCATGTTTGAATAGATTATTATTTAGCCAGAAATTTATGATTTTAGCCTCCTGACATCCGCGGCTCTCTGAAAAAATTGAAGTGGGTGAACCCACAATACCGAGAGAAGCATCTAATAACACGCATGCTACTGCGTTGCTCGGTTACACTCATTTGTTCCACTCGCAGCAGATATATTAGAATAGTTTGTTTCACTTATTTCCGTTGTCTTGCCAAAGAACAGTTTGCAGATTGTAAATAGCAGAGGAACTCTCGCTGGCTGCAACAGAACTCATTAGAACGGTAATTTCCAACACAGCACTAACTTTTCTTCATGCTAAATATTTATATTACTGCAAAAGCTAAAAGTTACAAGAAAATACACAGAACCTGCGATTTCACAGCCTACAATACCAGTATTATGTTATCAGGGTTGGAGTTCATTGTTTTGTTGAATTCCCATGCTAATGAACCGATACATCTATTTAAAAAGAAACAAGCATATAACAGTGCAGTTCACATGAGATAGGCATCTGTCATGGTGATCCATGCTTCCCAACTTCTGCCTAGAGCAGACGACGCATGCACACAAGCGATTATTAAAATTTAGGCCATATGCTGGTAACACAACTCGATCTTCACTGAAGCAGCGAACAGTACTGCACCATTTTCCGCTAAAATTGTTTTCCCACCAATACTGTGCGACAAAATAAACGCAAGAATCTACACCGCCCCGCACGCAAACGTGGTAAGCCTATAGGGCGGCCATGGTTCTATCCCCGCTTTGATGATGACGATAGTGCGACAGTAGTGCCACCTTTAGGTCGATGTCGAGGCCAATAGCTTGCTCTGCAGGTGATCAGCGACACTAAGAGCGACAAACACATGTTAGGTTGCTATGTCGTTGCTTCTGCAACCCGTTGATACGCTCTCGGTTTATGTTTCCCAGTTGCCCTATTCACAAATGCCAGTCCTATTGCTCCCTCAGACATACAGGGCTTTTCTTTATTAACTGCACCAAATTTTGAAAAAAGAGGAATGTGAGATAGGGTAATTCGAGCCCTGGGGCAGTGCTATTGGACACGGCAGCCACGAGAAAAAAGTTCAAATTAGGTAATTTAATTACCTAATTTCAACTTTTTTCTAGTGGCTGCCGTGGCCAACTAATTAACTTGAGATTTTCAAAAATTGAAAAAAAGGGTCGACCTACATTCGTGTAAATATGGTAACTAATTAAATTAGTTGCCGTATTTACACTAATGTAGGTTGACCCTTTTTTTCAATTTTTGAAAATCTGAAATCTGAAAATCGACTTATCGAACCAAAGCATTCCACCACTGGCAAAAATGAAACAATCGCGATATCATGACCACCCCGACTTGTTACGAGTTCAGCCGGCTGTACCTCTAGCATTGCACTATTCTTTGTGTTCATTTTACAAATTAATTATTTTTTATTTGCACAAACGAGTATTATTGATAGCAATTTGCAAATTAACCCGAATATACGGCGGTAAACAGCGCACGGCGCGCCCGGCTCCCGGGGGGTGGCGGCACTTCTTGTAAGAGCCACTCTGGAGGCCGCTGCAACAGCCTCACAGCTCACTTGGCTCACTCACCCCGCAGCTTCTCTTCGCAGTTTTTCGTGCGATTCACGGTAGCTCTAGCACATCGTTTGATCGAGTGACGAGATCATGCTTTAGCGCTAACTATGTTTTTTTGTATTGACATGCGTGATCCGGGCAGTTCAGGTTTTCTGTGCTCGTTTATGGCCATTCTTCACTCAGAAGCAACCAGCAACTTTGGTGTTCGACGCAAGTTCGACCTGTCGGAGCGGTGATGCTCCAGTGGAGTCAGGAGTGGCGCAGGTTCTTAAACTGTTACGGCAAACAAAGGAAATTCCGTAGGCCAAAGTCTGGTCCCCGAGTTGGAAGTCAGGCTTGCAACGTACGCCGCAAAAGTGTGCAATCGGACCCTACTCCTGACGTCCAATGCGATCACCGAGCAAGCGCGGAAGATACGGTTGATCCTGCCATTTGCGAAGTACAAGATTTCGTTGAACGCCGCCGCCGACGTGCTTCGAGAAAGCGGCAGTGATGATGACGGGACTGACATCCTCAGTGCGGGCGAGTCGTAGTGTAGTCGCGGACGGAGTGAGAACGACATTGACCAGCTTCAGTTGTCCCGCCTCCAGCGTGAACTTCCCAGTTTGGATAACGCCTAGGCATCTCATGCACCTCGCGCGTGCATGTGCAGCCAAAGCACGCCAGAAGGCATCAATCGCGTGTTGGAGGCTTGGCTTTCGAAACAGATACTTTGCCATTCTCACGTGTTCACAGTAAAATACTCATCTACAGATTTTTTTTGTTTTTTTTTTCGCTGATGTGCAATGTGGGGGGGTCGACTTACAATCGAGTCGACCTACAATCGTGTAAATACGGTAGCTAATGAACCAAAAAAGGCATTTTTAAAAAGGGGACTCCACCCTCAGCCCCCCTGGGGGCGGTTTGCTCATCTTGCAGCCGCGGCTGCAACCAAGAGGGATTTTTATGTCGCCTGACCAGCTCCATGGGGACAAGAAAGGACCTAGCGTCTATGCCTAAGGGCAGAGAAATCCGTGCCTCTTCGAGTACTAATGTCTAATTTCGCTCGCAGAAACTAACTGCCGATGCTTTTAACTGGGGTCCAATTAACCGCCCCTTTATACTTTATGAGCGGCAGGTAAAGTCATGGCCAGGAAAGGTAAATATTGGCCGAAATAAAGGAAAAATCACCTGAGATAAAAGTGGTGGCAGTATATTTATATCTCCGCGCTAGTGCTGGAGACCTAAGCCTTCTGCTTTAGTTGAGAGGTAAGAGCGCCAGTGCTTGTCGCGGCGTGAAAGTTCCAAATTCAAACCTTGCTGGAAATTTTTTTTTTTGTGGTGCTTATTTTGTGGAAGCTTTTTTCTCTTTTTAATTGACACAACTACAGTGTGTATAAGTATGAATTAGGTGCCTCCTGTTATTGAAAAGAGTCGTAGCAAGAGCATTGTATATCTGAAAAAGCATAAAAGTGCATGTAGTTGCTAGGGGAAGAAAGCTTTTTTCGGCCTCGTTTGTGTTAAAGTCATACCAATGCTGTAATCTTGGTTTCCTTTTAATGAATATTAAGAAACGATTGTATTGGCACGTTAACTTGGCTTGATGTTTTTTTTTTCTTCCGGTGTGATGATTGAATAGGTGGGACAAATAGTAAACACCGTGCAAGTGGATGACTTGGACAATTTGTAAAAAGGATCACAGTTAAGAGATAAGACATATGCACAATATATATATATATATATATATATATATATAAAAAGAAAAGCTTCTGGTGCGATTTGAACTTGGGAGTTTCACGCCACGATGACAAGTCTCGGCGCTCCCACCTCTCGACTACAGCAAAAAGTGAGTCTCGCCGACGAATGGCGTGGGTATATAACTATACTGCACCGCTTTTATCTTGCGATTTTTCCTTTATTTTGGCTCATTTTTACCTTCCTTAGCGTAACTTTACCTGCCGCTCTTAAAGTATGATGGCGCGGTTAACTGGACTTCAGTTTAAAGCTTCTGTGGTCAGTTTCTGCAAGCGAAATTAGACAGTTGTACTCAAAGCGACATGGATTTCTCAGCCATTAGGCAGGGACACTAGGTACTTCTTGTCCCCATGGAACTGGTCACGTGACATAAAAATGCCTCTTGGCCGTAGCTGCAACCGCGAAGTGAGCAAACCGCCCCACGGGGAGATGGTGAGAGGCAAACTGTAGTACAAAGAATTTTCATCCTGGCTGAAAAATATTCTGTAGGTCAGGTTTTAACAGCATGTGTGCTTGAAACATGCTTCAAGCACTGCAGCAAAGCTGAAAAAAAGGTAAAAACTCGAGAACAGCTTACCACCCTTCTCCCCTTCCGGCAGTACATCCAGGCGCTTGTGGAGTTCAACGACTGAGGGTTTGAGTCGCCATTTCCTCTCTGCCAAGGTCACAACCCTCTTGCCATATTTTTTTATGGCTGCCTCCAGCTCAGTGTCTAGATGGTGTTTCGTTAGGAGGTGGAACTCCTGACGAATCTGTGCCAATATTGGAAAATGATAGAGAGGAACAATTAATTGGTAAAGCCCACATTAACTGCAGGCACTTAGAAATCCTGCAAAACAATGCACAGAGGCTCAATGAAAATGCTATAGTCTGTTACAAGTTAAAAATAGCAGAACAATGTAGAGGAGGAAACCACGTCTCTTCGCCGTGATTGGTGGTTTCCTCCTCTCCAGTGTTCACTTTGCTAACGTGGAGCAAGGAGAGAACTCTCTGCTATTCTTGACCTGTAACAGTCAACTTCTGGAGCAGAGGCAAGATTTCGCTTAAATAAGACTCAGCAAAACGTCAACCGCTGCCCTGAGGCTACCAGAAAGCTCCTCTTCAGCTGAGTATCTACAGTGTTGTCTAAATGTCAAGACGAGACCTAAAGACAAGACGAGACGAGCTATGACACTGTAATTTACTAGCTGAGTGTGGGTAGGCGGTGGATGCAATTAATTAAAATACCAAGCACGATACTTGACCCACTCAGAAATTACAAAGGAAAACAATAAAATTCCTGTGTATTTCAATCTAGTCAAAAAGGTGTTGTCGTGGGTCATTGATCTAAAAAAAAGTGGAAGGAAGAACAAAACTTTTTACCTTGCTATTGTTCCCCGTTTTCTTTTTTTTTTTTTTTCTATCAAACTTCCCGTGGCCCACAAAAATGTTTTCTAGCTTTGAGAGAAAAAGGCTTAACCTCATGTCGGTCCAGGGGGGCTCGCTCTTCAGATAAGATCACGCATACGTGTCCCCAGTCAACACTTTTTCTTCACAATTTTATGCTACTCCTTCTATGTGTGACAAAACCAAAAACGTTTTTGCAAGAAAAAAATATTTTGTGAGAAAACAAAATTAAAACTACATGAAGGTGGCATCCAGTTTTGGAGTTTTGTCATTTTTGTCAAGTTTGACGACAAGTAATACACCAAATCATGTCTGTTACGTCACGCCACAGTGGTGGTGCTTCGGGAGCACTTCAGGTAAAAAGCTGTGGGTGGAAGAAAACAAGTGTGCCGTGCATCGCTATGGCATTTTGGTAGGTTATCGAGTTTATTTGCCTGCACACCAAAACGCTTCAGAGCAGTGTAGCTCGGGGCTGTGCGTCATGATCAAGGAAAGGTTCCAATACAGGTTTTCACATGTTTCAAAAGAAAAAACTCGAACTGAAACGGGCGTTGTCGACAAGTGCTGATGTGAGATGGCGCGCTTTCTGCCACTTTAACGTGCACGTGCGGCGCCATACGCGCCGATAGAGGCATGTTTGTTTGTTTATGGACTCGAGTTGGTGTATAGACAACATACAAATAATAGAAAACTCAAATATTTTATATAAATAGTAGCTTTAGTGACTATATTCACAAATATTTATAGAATATTGAAATACATATCACGCGTCAAAAGTGCACAAACTTGGCTACTTTGACATTTTTGCCTCATATTTGAGATTTTTTATCCCGTCGTGTCTTAAAGAAGACATAATATTGAAAACTTTTGTATGTCTTTTTCCTAAAAGGGTCTTATCACCTAAATAGAACTTGTTGACATAAGTTACAATTAACAATGGTTACAGGGCTTCAAACATGTCCAAAAGTGAAAAGTCCCGTAACTCTAACGCGCAATAAAAAAATTAGATTAATATCTTAGATTTTTTTAAAAATTAAGGTAAAGCAGTCCACACACTATCGGTGTGTTTTTCTATAAAAAAAAACACATAGCATTATTCTGCCACCGTCAAAACTATAGCGCTTCACACTTCACATAACTGGCTAGTTACTCCCCACACATTGAGGATTAACATACAAAAATATGAACAAAAACAAAAATGTCGACCGGATGTGTGTGATTCTATCTGAACAGACCCCATAAAAGTTTTATTGTTTTTATTTTTAACTTTCAACTGGGACAAGTCTTTGATATTTTCATAAATTAAATCCACCATGTAGCCGAACTGGTCTGGTAAATTACAGGGTCGTAGCTTGTACATCCGATTTTCTGTGATTTATTTTGGTCTTGGCCCAACATCTAGACCTTCCTGTACAATATGTGTCATATAGTTTTTAGACAATGGGGTTTATCCGTCTCAAGGAGCACATGATATTTCCACTGTAAATGAGCGACTTGGTCAGTGCAGTGTTGCTGCTAACCTAAGGTCTCCGATATGCACCAAGAAGACGTCTTCACTTGAGCACATGCTGGTATAATGCTCATCCAAAATGAAACAGACCAGGGTGAGCATTGAACTAAGAATCCCCGAGTTCTGCAGGGTGAGCTCTCCCCAAAGTATCTACGGGTGCAAAATAGGACAGATAGCACAAGCTGCTATTCTGATGCTCCGCAGAGCATGTCCTGCTTGAGTTTGCCAACCAGCCCTTGCTACTTTTTATCAATAATTATTTGCGAAATTTCAGGAAAAAATACAATGCTGAGACTTTGTATGTTTCCATGGCAGTCTCTAAGGGTTGCTTTCCCTCTCCAACTTAAAGTACTATCGTGGACACTACGAGCTGAAACTACACACGGCACACGGAACTATTAGCACCACCTGCCGCATTGCTTCGCAAACACCGACAGACTCCGACGCCAAAGCAAATCTCCTCCTGCAACCGTTGCGAAACTGTGCTCTTCCAGCCGTCTGCTAGCGAGATGGAGGGTGCGGCACCGGCCAACCTTGCACTGGCTACGGAGGCTCCCAGCCGTCTGCTAGCAAGATGGAGGGTGCGGCACCGGCCAACCTTGCACTGGCTACGGAGGCTCCAAGGTCACACTTGTCATTCCCCACAAATACAAACCGACACCTGCGTCTGAGCCATTTAATCACGACCCGATTATTGCACGATAAGTTGAGGCACCGCATATGGAGATAAAAGGCACTGCAGAACTTTTTAATAAAATTTCTGTTCGGTTTGTGCTGTTTCATGCAGAGCAATCACGCAAGTAAGAAAGGAATCGGCATTGAAAAAAGAAAACCAGGTGCGTAACAACGGATTTTGCAATCCGCTGCTGCCATGAAATGCACGTGAAGCGTATTGATCGTGACGGTGGTTCTGTTGACAATTGTGTTCGCTGGCAGACGGCCCAGAAGTGCTGAATGGCGCAACGAGTGCAGGAGGAAATTTCTCTCGGCCTAGCATGCACCGGTGTTTGTGGAGTGATACGACAAGTGGTGCTAGTAGCACCGTGCACCATGCGTCTTGCCATTTCAGAACATAGTACCCGTGATAGTACACATGGACCAGACCACATCACACCTTCCTTGTAAAAGAACATAAAATGATAGAACATGTGATGGGGGCTACAACATATTCTTGAGCCCTTATCTGAAGCATGAAAGTCTCTGATATACAGGTGCTGCTCTGGCTAACAGACTTTCAGTGCATCTTAACACTGAAAAAAAACTGTGCAGTAAGAACAAGTTGCTTGGCATGTACAAAAATTTTGAAAATATAGAAGCATTCTGCAGCATAATCAAAAACCAATTACCATATTTTCCTATGTATAAGACACTTTTTTTCCAAACCTTTCAGCGGTGTCTCTTATAGAACAGTGTGTCATATATGTATATTTTATTTTTCCTTTTGGCAAACTGAAAAAACTCCTGTTGATGCTGATTAGTCTTTTTATAACTATTATGACAGCTCAATGCAAATGATGCATCGTAAATGCAAGTCAAGCTCCCAAAACTAGAGTTCCATAACAAAAAACAAAAAAGAAAGTCAAGAAAACGAAAAGAAAGAAAGAAAGAAAACACGTTGCTTTGTGACGTGCTTCGAGTAATAAAATGTTTCTCCTGCAATTATGCAGGATCTCTTAATGCATGGTTGTGCTATTTTTTCCCCGCAAATTTGGCGCTTCATAAGTGTTCTTAGATACGCGTCTTATACACAGGTGCGTCTTATATGCCAACTCTTACTTAGAAGAAACTTGCAAGAAGTGGGGGGGTGTCTTATTAAACGATGCATCTTATACGCCAGGAAACACTGTACATCTTTTTGTGTTGATTTATTTCACATTTACTTGCCCTCCATGCCTTTCAACGAGGCATGAGTCGGAGAATATATGATATTCAGGAAGAACCAAACAAAAAAACAATAGTCATGGCCCCCAACACTGCCAGCCTGTCACCAACAATAGAATGCAGTTTGTGCAATTGAAACAAGTATGCCTGATCGGAATTTCTTTTCACGTCCTACCTAGCCTAAAGCAGCATGACTGAATAAATGTAAATTATAGTCATCGTCAGCTTCCTGTGCTAAGTTGGCAAGGCTAGCGTAGCTTCCACAACGCTGCATTCCCTCCCACTTGAATTAAAAAAAGGTGAGGGCCTCGCCCAAAGAGCATGTGGAGACGTATTTTTGTCTTTCCTCTCTCTCTCTATTTTTACAGACTTTTTCTCAGTGTTCTGGACACTAAGCTAGCCCTGCCAAATTAGCATAAAAAGGTGACGCCAGGCATAAATATCTTAAAAACGAAAAATGGTAATAAGAGCTTACAGCTTGGGGATATTCAAGTGCTGGATACTTGGCCAAAATGTCGGCCACAAGTGGCTGTACCGACTGCATCCAGTGCCTGCGTTCGTCGAATGTCCTCTCCATCGACAATGCAATTTTCTGCCAGTCCGGGTTTGCTTTCCGCACCTCCTTGGCCATGAAGGCCAGATGGCCGGCAACAGAATCTTCGTCTTCGGCGTCACCCCAGTAGGTAACACCGCTGAGCTGGAAAGGTGTGTTACAAGCATTATTCAGTAGCATTTCCTAATTCAGCACTAATATGATACACTCAAAATAAATTCTACTTAACAGTACATTCAGTGCCTTCTGCTATCTGCACTATATCAGCAAAGTGGTTTTAACAAACGTGAAAACAATTACGAAATTCAATTATGCATGCTAGGATGGTCCACAAGGGTGCGACTACTTTAACATATCAAAGCACCTACCGAAATCAGGCACAACGAAATATTGGGTGCTTGTGTGTCTCAAAAGAATAGCAAGATGATAAGTTACAAATAAATAAAAAATCACTCATCAGGTTCATTTATTAAGCATGAAGGAGCAAAAACCTTGAAAGAGTAAATCTGAAGCTTGATATCTAGAACAGGAGTGACCAAACTGATGCTTCCCAAGAGCTGCAGGAAAAGCATAGTGAACAGTATATGATTCTACTAAGCACCGGAGGAACAAAAGAATGAAGTGCAGACTTAGACGTTCTGGTGCCTTACATGTCTGGCGATGTGCTGCACTGCCACTGCGGGCCTGGCGTCAGCGCTGTTCTGCTTAGCTTCACTCGCCTTCTGGTGCTTCGCCCGTGCTGCACCAACACCTGGCACGGTGCTTTCCATTGCGCGCCTCCCATTCTTTGCCTTCACGCGCAGGTGTGCTCGCCAGACCTCCTGGAAGAAAGCAGTACAAGTGCCCATGATTCCAATTTTCGATTACACCAAAGTAACACAAACTCACATATTTTAAACAAGAACCATCCCTTAGCTTAGGATACTTGGCTACGAGCTGCTCTGCAGCAACAGCGTAGAGTGGTCCAGGATACCTGCATGGAAGTGTGAAAATATGCCATTCATTTTCCTCCTTTCTGTGCTTCGATTAGTTCTACGCTCTTTGTCATACCACCTTTTGTATATCAGATGTCCAAGCCCACCACCGTATTTTAGTATGTAATGTAATATACTGAGAAATTGAACACCTCTTCCACAGGCCAACAGGCATGGAACAAGCTAAACATAGCGAAGTCTGCAACTTCCATAAAATAAAATGCCAACTCACAGTGTGTAACTGCAGAGGTCATAGTATATGTGGTTGACAATTTGCCTCTTCAAATCTTCCGACACATCTGCAAGCCCTTTCACTCTGCTGAGGGCATCCTCCACATGGTCTGGCATCCGAGGGAGGCGATATCTCGACACGTCTTTTGTTGCCGCCTGTGCAGGACGCTCTGCACTCTGAAACAGCAGCAGTTCAGACTGCCTGGAACAATGGAACAAAGCAATAATGATAAAAGTCATAACATTATATAAAACTTTCAAAAGTGCTCTTCCATTTTTTGAAAGGGAACATTGCATTTGAGTAATCCAGGCTCATTTAATGGTTGTGCTCACTGAAGAGTAGTGAAATTCTAAAGTGCATAGAAAACTTCCTCGGCGATGTACTATCTTGGACTCTGTTAGCTATAACACAGCAGTCGTGGGAGTTCCATACCGCCAGCGCTACATAGCAAGTGCCCTCCGAAGCACTGCGCCAACCGCATGTGGTGGAACATCATACTCTGTCTTCGTCATCTGCTAGGTGCAAACGAGACGCCACCACAGCGCTTGCAGATGTTTGCTTCACAGGCTTTTGTGCGTGCCTCTTTCAGTATGGGGATTCCGCTAAACATAATCAATGTCGATGATTGCATATATATCTAGGTGGAAAACTTTTCTCAATCGGACAGATGGCTGTTGATGGCCTTTCCTCGTTTCAAACAATTTCACAACTGGTTTGTAAATGCATACCTGCCAACCCAGCAACATGAATATTTAGGAGACCGCCGCGTGGGATGGGGGGTCAAAACATCTTTTTTTCTAGTTCGACAAGAAATCTTGTAAAGAGGCACTCTGCGCGGATCACACTGTCTTCGCAGTTGCTTTGAAGTAAACTGCTGATGGTGCCTGGCTTTCTATGGCACGAACATGATTGTGAAGCTTTCGTGAAGCGATGTGCATCTTGATGTCAGGCTTGCTGCCGTGCAAAACGCTCACATCACAGGCACACATGTTACAGAAGCCATACTTGTCAGCTTTCAGTGAAGCGACAAAGCACGGGTACTCAGTCGCGTATGATCTCAAAAATACTTGCAAGAACTTCTACTTGGTTTTTGAAAGTGCCATCTATCGATCCAACTAAACTCGGGGAAACACAAAGAATAGTTTGGTGTTCCGCACCTCACTTGACGACCTGACAAAGCCAACTGAAGCCTAGCGCACCCATGATCATATAAGATGTGTTCCAAAATCCACTTGAACTTACTCAGGAGTACAGATCTCGTACCTTGGCGTTTGAAAATCTACTCTCGTTTTACGCTGCTGCTCTGAGTTGTCATGTGGTAACCTGCCAGAGTAAACTAAACCTACTCTCGAGTAACTCGCACTGACACATGCGTGATGATTATGGCAATAGAGCGTCAAAAAAAAAAAAAAAAACTACGGCAGCCACTTTTTGGGAGATTTGAGGTCGCATCCGTACAATCGAGACATATATTCCAAAATCGGGAGGCTCCCGAACAATTCGGGATAGTTGGCAGGTATGTAAATGTATCATAATGAAGCAAGCAGTAAACACTGGATTCATTATCAGTCTGGGCTTAAATATACACTTATTTATTTACAACTCCTTCTAAGAGTCGGTAAACTGCTGTGGCAGTGTCCGCTTTGCGCCTAGCAGACGACAGAGTTTGAGTGCAACCTGGAAGAGCAATGCTGCAGCACAGAATCGGTGCTGTGTTCCGGACAGCGTCTGCTGTGTGGCGCTGGGGGTACGAAACAACCACAGCTGCCGTGTTATAGCTTACAGTGTCCACAATAGTTATTTTCTTTAAAATGAAGATTTGTTTACTATTCAAAAGGGAACATGCAGAACTCTGTGACATTCTCCAAAAAAAAGTACATATAAAATAAAAATTTAATCAAAATAGGTTTGGAGCTATAACTATGGTGCTTGGAACGTGCATCTGACTCGTGTGTTCACCATCAATGCCTCCCATGCATTGGAAGTGGCTCCGAAGCTGCAGCAAATTATGTCATGGGAGCTGCCATTTCATATTGTCGCCTGTTGCGATCCCGTTTGTAGGATGTCGAAACGCTGGCAAAGATGGCGAGTGGATGCAAGGGCTGCTGTCTTAGCGTCTCAACCAGTGCCTGAGAAAGTTTCTTTCGAATGACTAGATGCAGAGCAAGCTACAGCAGAACAGGCACCTGCCATATATGCCCCCGCTTTTGTAAGGCCCGGTTCAAACCAAAAATGATTTCTCCTTTTTCTACCGCTGGAACTAGGACAATTCCTGTGAGACACTGTGACGTCACAGTGGCATTTGCCCAGCATTCCTCCTGTCCGAAACCCCACAGCAACATCCTGGCATCTTGCAGGAATCATCCTAGTTCCGTACAAGGAAAAAGAAAAATCCTTCGTTTTGAACTGGCCGTAACACCACCAGGAACGTGGCCAGCAACAACATCGCACTTTTGTGACATCATCAAGCGGAAATCAAGGGACCACTTTTTGGCCATGGTAAACGCACCAGACGGAAATGCATTCCAGGCTCCATACTATGAATAAGATTTCAAAAAGATTATTGTGAGAAAAAAAAAATAATCAGCAAAGGCTGTTTGGGGATTACAACTATGTTTCCTCTTGCATGTAAGTGATAACTCAATAAATATAGTTACTTTAGAGCAGGAGACTGTCTTTGTTAGATATAAATGCAGCGCAAAATGATCAGCTGATGAGTCAAGTTGCGGCTCGCAAATGATTACGTCTTGTTAACCCAGTGCATCATGTCATCCATTGGAATGGGCAGCAGCCAGCAGTGATTCCCCCCCCCCCCCCCTTGGTTTTTCTGAAGGCACCCCCTTAACTCGCAACGGCTCCTCCATTCTCAATGCCCCCCTCCCCCCTAAAAATTTAGACACCGTGCGCCCTAATTTCAATTTCTGGGGAAACCCCTGACAGCAACTGAAATTTAACTAGTTCTAGAAAAAAATAAAGCAAAGTATTTATTTGGAATTACCCAGTAGCTACTTCGGTAGCCCCAGCTTCCAGCTGGATTTCAAGTTTGATTTTTGAATATTGTTGTAGAACAGTGATTCCGTCCAGGTCGACATATTCTTGAAAGCGGTCATCGAACACCTAGGTAGAGCAAGAATGTTAGTAACGAGATCATATTTCATAGCAGGTTTAACCACAGCACACTGGAGCTGACAAGTTTCTGCGGCTGCAAAGAGGCTAGCTACTCATTCACATGATCACAAGCCAACAATTTTCGCTCTAGTTGAAAAATAGTTCTCTTGCACAGAACACAATTTCCAAATGTGAGTGAGCCCAATATAGCAATAGACAGTGTTGAAAAGTTGCCTGTTTTCACTGCATGTTTTTTTCTGTTTTCTACCCCAGTCTCTGATATTACAGTCATGGTAGCAGCCTTCCACAAGATTTAAAGGCACACCTGAGCATTTCCGGCCCAACCACATGGAGCACTTTTCACGAGGTTGCGCATCTGTCCGCGTCAGAACAAGGGATAGGGCGGCCAGCCACATGGGGACTTGCACCTGCCAGCATCGCTAGACCGTCTACTAGGCTTAAACAATCTGACTGCCACTTCAATAACTGAGTTGGTGACCTCAATTAACGAGGGACAAAAGACAACAGGTGGTGGGCGAGGGCTACAGGGTGCGCACACCTATGCCAATGCCGACAACAATGCCCCTTTTTATTGAAATGGGGCTTCTAATGCTAATGCATTTTAACCGTCCATCAATACCTCATTCCTCGATGTGGATACTCAATGAAAGGCACAAAGCTTGCACTAGTTTGTTGCACCTCAAGAATAGCAGAAGAGTGGAGAGAAGGACACCACCTCCCTACACCAGGATTGCTGGTTTCCTTCTCTCGAGCCTTCACTCTGCTAATGTGGAAAGAAGGGAGCTTTGCGGGAGGGGCTTGCTGCTGCTGTTTTGAGTTGCAAAAGTACCCAAGCACCAAAGAGCATGCACGGAACAGAGGTCTCGCATGCATGCTATGGCACGATGAGGGCTTTCCGCTGGCTCCATATCTAACTTGGCAGCCATCCAATTTCATGGGCTCACTCACCGAAGCAGTTATCATGGCAGCGGAAGCTTTAAATTGTGTCATCACGTACACACAATACTTATAGTCCCAGCAGGCGCCTTGGTACTTGAATAATTAAAAAAAAGTCTATTGTACAGTAAAAGCTTACTTGGATCAGCAAGCTCTCTGGCTCAAGGTGGCTGAAGTGTGGAGAGGTCCTCAATGCGATTAGGACATCTTCAAGCCGGTAGGAGCCCCCGACTGCGATTGTTTTGCTGGACTGACCGAGCCTTACCAGGCACGTGATGTCCATTTGATCTACAAGCTGGAAGTAAATGTGCTTCAATATTTATTTCAGTTACAAGGAACATTCCTTTGAAACACAAGTGGACTTGAAGATGAGCTGAACAGTACTAGATTTAGCCTCCAAAAACCGAGTTCACGTTGAAACCGAAACCAACCAAACTGAAGCAACCTAATGGCGTCGAGTGCGTCAGCGCCCTCTATCCGCCGATGAGGCAACTACTAAAATGAAAAGGTCTATAGCTTTACTCCATTTTATTTGTCCCACCCAGCCTCAGGTTCTCTTTCAATGCAAAATTATAGTCCTTTATTTTAGTGCAGGCGTGCATATACAAAATGTTTTGGGATGACATTTCTTGCGGAAACAGGCATCGTAATGATTGGAAATAAAGCACATGACGGTCGGTCGGGGCCGTAAGCGGTGACTGTTAGCGAGTTCGTTTCACACGCGCTGGCACCGTTCGAGTTCTCTCCCAGAATGCATCGCACTTGCAGGGTGTTGCACGGAGAACTGGGCTCAAACGAACTCGCCAAGCGCACCGAGTGCAGAAGACTGATGCTGCCGCCATCTATGTTGTCGAAAAGGTACCGACCTCAAACCGAAACTAGCGCCTTTTTGTTCGGAATGATGGGTGGGAATGCGAGAGTGCAGTCGCTACCACCATTTATCTAAAATTGTTGGTCGCTGCAACCTGTAGTTTATGGTTGCGATGACTTCAAGGAACTCGGCTGTCGTAGAGATATTTACAGACGGCGTAAATTTCCGCAACCAGCTGTCTACAAAGCAGCTGGTTGCAATCTTTCAATTCGTGTAACCGTTTAAACTGAAGAAAACTGATGATGCTGTCCGAGCAGAGGCGTGATCCGTTTGAGCATGTTATTTCACGTAAACCACTGAAAGGGTACGGCTTAAAACTAAACTGTTAGAATATTGAGCAAAACTTTTCGTGTGACTTTAGATTTCGGTCGTCATTACAGGTGGATCACATATTAGCCTTGGTGAGGGCGTCGAGAACGAGAGCTTTCTCGAACAAAATACAACGGGGCAAGTTAGCTGACGTAGGTAAGTGTTAAACATGATGATGTTGCCCAAGCCTCGGGTAAAGTGACTATGTTTAGCTTTCTCTGATGCTTACTGGGCAGTCAGAGGTTTCTGCTGGGGGAGTTTTGTCGACAAATGTTCAATTTTCCCACCACACACGGATGGTGATAAACATATCGGGCCGCTGATGCGTTTGTTCTGAGCAATTTTTACACACTGGTATATTTCAGCGTTTGTACGGCAATAGAGCGACTTGAAACCTCCAAATAAAGCATAGTCTGTCAATTTCTTTCTTCGTGAAATAGCAGACGCTCACAATTCAAGCTCGCGCCGCGGTTTATTCTGTTGCCCGCGGGACGAGATTTCTATAAAAAAAAATCTACTTTTTTTCGTTTAGGTTCCGCGACACATCGTAGCAGACGAACCCTCGTCGTCTGCTCCCGCTCCTCGCCGGAGCTAGGCATGATGGGATTGCATTTGGGCGCACTCCCGATTTTCTCGGTGCAGCGAGCGCATGCACGCGTGGGGTGCCGCCGCTGAAACGAACTCGGAGAGTGCAACCACTCGTGGGGTGACAGCGGAAACGAGCTCGCTTTACGCCGCAAATAAGCACGCGTGGACAGGACAGCCAACGAAACGAACTCGCTTAGTGTCGTTTACGGTCCTTCCCGGCGCAATGAAATGCAAAGCTTTTGATTTGGCCGTGCGGCGAAGAGTGGCTTCGGTAATGAGCATGCAACCCATTGTGCAGCCAGCAAGAAAGCGGCAAGCCTATCGCTTGCCGCAAACTTGTTCAGGATTTTGCGAGTGGATCGACTGCTTTATTGCCTTTTTCGTGGAATCCGTTTCTATGAGCGCAAATAAATTGTTTCGAAAGCTCTGTGGCGACCAAAAACGAGTACATGGACAGCACAATGAACTTGATACGTGCGGCCGTCCCGAAAGTGGTACCCACATTGCCAAGGGCCGACACCGATCGACCGATCCGCAAAATATAAGAAGCAAGCTTACCAGACACAGTTGTTTGGGTAAGAACGAAGGGGGGTCGATACGAATCAACGTGTCGCTGCAACGGCGCTGACGACACGACACCACAAGACAACCCTAACGTGCTAACGTAACGAGCCGACGAGCCTGCTGACAAAGAGACAGGCGTGATAGGGAAAATGGGGAGGGGAGCCCTAGCGGGAGCAAGGAGCTCCGGCGGCTGAAAAAAGTTCGCTAATTTAGGCAAATATTTCCGTTCACCCACCGCTCACACTGGAATAATTTGAAGGTATTAAATTTCTTTCCTTTTTTTTTCAGATTCGGCATATTGTTGAGGATCACTTTAAGGATAATTAGGCGATAAGGCGATAACAACCATCAAACCCGAGCAACACTGTAATTGTTCGCCCCTAAGCTCACAGTGCGGTTACAGTGGCTGTAGTGCGGTGGAAGCTGGGTGCTCGCCGGACCAATCAATGGCCTGCCTCTAACGCCTGACCTCGCTCATCGCGAGTGATTATGGGGGGGGGGGGGGGGGAGGGAGGTTATCACGTGCTGCAAGGCCGGCACTGGTTTAACGAGCATGCAGCTTCCACCCCACTGTCAACGTCCTGTCCGTTTTTTTTTTTTTTTTTGAGGGGGGGGCTTGGCTTCCGTTTCCGTGCTCTTGTTTTATCGCAAAGGTTCCAATGCCCTCCTGGTTAAGATGACGTTTTGGCCATGCCCGCTGTGCACGTTTTTTGCACCGAAATTGATAAGAGTCGTCAATCATGTCGCAGAAATGCATGGCTCCGAGCCTAACATCACAATACTCTGTGGCGTAGATGGCTGCTGCCATACGTTCAAGGTCGTGAACTCTTATTGCCGTCACCTTTACCGAAATCACCGTGAGCACATAGAGCCGCCCCGTAGTGGCATCTCTGATCCCAATGCGTCGGAAGTGCGGGACCCGATAGTGGCATCTCTGATCTCGATGCCGTCGGAAGCGCGGGACCCAGTTGTGGCGTCCCTGATCCCGATGCCATCGGAAGCGCGGGACCCCACGGAAACCTGCCTGATGGAGGACAGGAATTTTCAAACTACGATGATGAAGCCTGGACTACTCCCGTTTCACAAGGGGAAACGCCTGCCGAAACATTTTATGATTTTGTTCAGAGCCTACAAGACAGCATTTGCAGCTTCTTTTTCCAACTCGCAGAAAAGCACAAGGTACCACACAGTACCTGCGACAAAATCTTCGGGGATTTTCAGTGACTACTCGAGGTCATCCTGAACAAACACGCACAACAGGTGCAACAAGCCACCTCTTTCGCCGACGGCTCCACAGACAGCCATTGTCCATTTGGGGAGGACTTCCCACGCTGTCTTTTTGACAAAGTACGCAGTAGGTACCAGAGAGAAAAATATGCAAGAACAAACTTCTTGTATGTGAAGCCTGAAGAGCATCTGTTGCCAAGCCCACAGAGTTCTCCATTCCAGCACATCCCTATTGGGAAAGTTATCCAGAAAGTTTTCGAAGTTCCAGAGTTGGCAAGGGAACTCCTGCAACCAAGAGAACAGGTGGGGACCGCACCGGAAGTCCTAAGATGTTTTCGTGACGGCACGGCATCCAGACAAGTGGCAGCGAGTGCCAGCTCCAGTCAACCCACGCACAATCTGAACCTCTTGTTGTACACAGATGAATTGGGGATCACCAACCCCTTGGGGGCCAACCAAAAGCAGCACAAGTTGCTTGTTGTGTATTTCTCCTTCCTTGACCTGCACCCAAGGTACCGTGCGACTCTGAAGCACATACATCTGACACTGATGGCCAAGTACAAGGATACAGAGGCTGATGGACGAGAACGTGTTACAACCTCTGCTGCAAGACCTGGCCGAGCTCAAGAGCAATGGTCTTCAAGTTCGGTGTGGTGAAGGCACCATGACAGTGAAGGCCACGGTTGCCGCAGTGTGCGGCGACAATCTTTCGCTGAACAAGCTTGGAGGCTTTTCCTGCTGCTTCAGCAGTGGCAGGGTATGTCGCTTCTGCATGGCAACTAAAGCCAGGCTGGCAGAGCTCACGAGAGAAGAACTCTGTGTGATAAGGAGTGCAAATCGACACAGCATACACTTATCGGCAATTGCTATCAACCCATCGTTGAAAAAGCAATACGGAGTAACCGGGCCCTCTCCAATGCTGTCCTTGGAAGACTTCGACGTGACAAAACAACTCATGCCAGACATAATGCACGACATGTTTGAAGGAGGATTTGCAGTTGTTCTCCATTATGTTCTTCAAGGGCTCATCCAAGAGGGCACCCTTGCATTGTCAGACTTGGAGAAGGTAGCCAAGTTCAAATTTGGCTTCAACGACCGAAAGAACAAACCTGAGCCTCTAAGTGTCAACTTCACCAAGGACCACCGTGCCTTGAGAGGCACAGCTTCGCAAAAGTGGTGCTTGTTTAGGCTGCTCCCACTGATGATGGCCTCTAGCATCCCAGAAGGCAATGCGCATTGGGAGCTCTACCTAAAGTACCGGGAGATCACAGACATGATTCTTGCTCCTGAGGTTCCCACTGACTTCGTGCCATACCTAGAAGACAGAATTCAAGGTTTTCTAAAGGACTTCAGTGAGACATACCCATCAGCCAGTGTGCCCCCCAAGCTGCACTATCTTGTCCACTATCCCCGCATCATCCGAGAGTATGGGCCCCTGCAACAGTACTGGTGCATGCGCTTTGAGGCAAAGCACCAGTACTTCAAAGGTCTGGCATTGAAAACCAAAAATTTCTTGAACATCACCAAGACCTTGTCTACACGACACCAACTCCTGCAGAGTTACGAGCTCCATACCTTTGTCCTTGACAAACCTGTTTATGCCACAGGTCTCAAGGTGGTAGCCCCCGCAGAACTCAACCAGTGCGCAGAGAGCCTGGCATCTGATGGCCTGCAGGTCTGGGAAGCCAAGTCCATCGAGACAAGCACGGGAGTTTACCAAACTAACGATGTCCTTCTCATGAACAAGACAATGTCACTGAGCTTTGCTAAAGTTAGCACAGTGTACATGGTGAATCGTGAAGTGTTCCTTCTGCTCAATGAGCTGCAAGTGGAGAGATTCCGCAGACACAGGTGCAGCTATAGAGTGCAGAACACCGACAACTTCTACCTCAAGCAGCCTGGTGAAGAGGCCTGCTTCCAACGGTTGGACCTCTACAACGAGGGAGAGCTTGTGCCAAAGTGGGACAGCTTCTATTATCCTTAAGTACTTCCAGGAAGACCAGTGGACCCCCAAAAGAACTTGTGTGACTTCGCACAAACCTATCTTACTGACTCAAACCTTTTGCACACTATGAAGAGACGTGCCAAGTGTGATGGCAATTACAGCTGGACTCTATATGTATCTTTATCTTGTTTATGTGCCACAAACCATGCCTAAATGTTTTTCAATAAGCAGTGTTACTAACAAAATGAAGTTTTAAAACGTAACTGACTTCTGTTGTCTATTAGCTTGTTTTTTTTCATGTGGAACGGTAACCATGACCAAAACACTATAGTTGGTTACAAGTCAAGGAGGTAGCGGCAAATGCCCCTCAAAGAGAATCTTGTATTCCTTTGCCACCAATCTTGTCCCGTTGTTACCATGATATCACGACCTGCTCGAACCAATCTTGTTCTTGCAAAAAAATATTTTCAACATGGCTGCCGGGCAGATTTTTTACGACTCCAGCACCTTGCAGCAATTATTCTGCTCTTTAACGTGGTTTTTCACTTACCCGAGCGTACGTCGCTAAGTCATAAACGCGTCCACTTTTATTCGCAGTAGGTTCTGTGCGACAGCGTGCGAATCCAGCTAGAGCATTGCCATTGTAAAGTTTGATGCGGGAATAAGGCCTAGCATTGTATAGGGTGTCACAAAACAAAATTTACAGTGTCTTTTTTACCGCAAAAATAAACTAGGCATCGCCGAGCGCTCATTCTCCACCCAAAGGTAGCGCTAGAGGTCACAACCAGATGCCAAAGTTTCAGCCCAATCCGATAACTTAATCAGAAGTTATAAGTGATTTTCTGAAAATTTCGATGGGAAAATGGCGGCCGACGGAGTTTTCAAATATATGGGGCTCTATGGCACCAGAAACCGCAAACGGGCGAAAACGGGTTTCATTTTCCAATTGAAATTTTCAGAAAATCGGTTATAACTTTTGATTAAGTTATCGGATCGGGCTGAAACTTTGGCATCTGGTTGTGACCTCTAGCCCTATTTTTGGGCGGAGAATGGGCGTTCGGCGATGCCTACTTTATTTTTGCGGTGAAAAAAACCCTGTAAATTTTGTTTTGTGACACCCTGTACATATGTCAGACGCCGTCTGCTTCGTCTACCTCAGGTTGCGCCTCAACATTGCGACGGCACCTGCTTTTCTTCGCAGTGGTTTCCGTGGAGCGATGTTAAAATACAGCGGTCACCAAACTCTTCTTTAAAAGTGTAGTGGGCTGTGCGGGATGGGCATAAGTCAACCGCAAACAATTTGGACCGTATCTTTGCTGGCGTTAATAAATAGTCTGTTTAATGAAATTACGCCTTCAAATCAGTATGCACTCATCTGTGAAACGTATCGCCTTTGTCAAGTTTCCGTGTCGCAGTCAGCTGCACGGTAACCTATGACTGCGATAGTATCCTTGTATGCACCCTCGTTTGCAATAATGAGCTAATACATACATGTGACATACAAATGATAAAGCCAGTGATGCGTATGTTACAAATATTTAATTGATTTTGTTTTGGAGGTTAAGAAGCCGATATCTTCTTTTGGAAAAATTTCAGAGAAGTTTAGGGAAGCAGATTTGGTTCTCTCAAATGCTTCCGAACATTCTACTAGCTCTCAGAGGCCCTGTCAGTTGCTTGTTTATGCTTCAAACCCGAGTAAGTGACGCGTGTACCCCCACTCGTGTCATGGCCAAGGTATTACCGGCAAACACGCACCAACCTTTTCAACTTACTGTAGAAGGAAAATTTTGTCCACATTATTCGATTGCAGCATTGGTTTAATAATTTGTAACACCTGAAAAGTATGTCAATAAAAATTGATTGCAAGGGCAGCTTCCTTTCAATTCATGAATTGCGGCTTTCTTATATGCAAAATATTTATTTAAATAAAAAATTTAAAAACATACTGAATACCCAGATGTCCTGATCTTGGTTCGAATGCAAGCAGCATAATGGTTTGTCTTCATTACAATAAAATTGACAATGTTTAAATCAAGCAACGACAACGACACAATAGAGGAGACTTAAAAGAAAAGGAAATTAAACCAAGAAAAAATAAAATAAAAAAAAATAAAAAAAATCTTCTGCTTGCACCACAAAGCAATGGGCTCGAACTACCTAATTATGTTTCTGACATGTTGATCTCTGCATTATACCAGGCCGTAACCATGAACAAGCTCTTCAGAGTCTGCCATCGTCTTTCGCGTCTACCTTGGCAAAGTCAGACTCGTGTAGAAAACATATCGAACTTCTTCTTGGGGGCAACTTCGCAGTCCTCGTTGTCAGAGCCTCCATGGAGGCTCTGACATGTCACTCCCAAGGTTTCTGTCGTTTCCTCCGACACATTTCATCAACTTTTTATTGACACTTGTTTCATTGACACTGGTCGTTTTATTGACTTTACCACACTGTGCAGTAAAGTTTCATCGACACGCAAATTGCACGCTGTACGAACATTTCGCAGTGCGTTTATCATTGGGGCACATGTTAAACTATCCAACCCACCCAGTTCACGATGCTTTGTGGCGACAATCTGTGACAGTTCATTACAAAATTGTGAACCCACCCGACCCAACCGTACAGAGCACTAGCACTGGGGTTTTGCTTTCCACTGTGCTAGCACAAGTTATTGTCACTCCCAGGGTGGCTGCAGTCTTGTGAATGGCCAGAGGCATCCCATTTATGATTCAAAACAAATCACTGGCAGCGAGAGTTCGCTGTCAACAGTGTTGAGACGTTATTATGATTCCCAGCCACAGACATTCCGTTTATGCTTGAGACAGATTACTGGCAGCGAGAGCTTGCTGCCAACAGTGTTGACACATGTTATTGTGATTCTCAGCCACAGACTCCGTTTATGCTTGAGACAGATTACTGGCAGTGAGAGCTTGCTGCCAACAGTGTTGACACATGTTATTGTGATTCTCAGCCACAGACATTCTGTTTATGCCTCGAAACGGATCACTGGCAGTGAGAGCTTTTTGCCCACAGTGGTGACACACATTATTGTGATTCTCAGAATGGTCTCAAGGCCTGTCCAAACAGCACACTTCAGAAATCATGAGGCGACACGACTCCGTCAAAAATTGTGGAAGCTCAAGCGTCTGGCAGTCCGATGCCTGTTCGAACAGAACCAACCAAACATCACGACTTCCTTCCTCGCTTCCTCCTCTTTTCGGTGGCCTTGATAATCGTCAGATTTGACGTCACATATGCCACCTGCCAATGCAGTCTATCTGTTCTGCCGAGCCCTCGTACCCTTGTTCGTGCTCTAAAATTTACTCAATCTTACTCCAGTGTAAATAAAGGTTTTGTACCTTTTCGTTCAAAGCCCTACCCACACCTTACTGCTATTCAGCGCTTGAAGTCTCCCTTAAGTTGAGGGGGGTCCCTAAAAGAAGGGAGGAGGGCGGGAGGGGGGGGAGGGGTTCTGATGAAATGTACTAGATGGACATAAAATAAACCCCACAGCTGACTCTGCCCATGCTGTACCTGCAACCCTGAAATTGCTAATCCCCAAATGTCACATTCCTGAAAACAAGCTATTTTATTGCAAGATATGATTTTGATTTCACTAATGCTGGGGCTGTGGAGGAGGGTCCCATCCCTTAAAATCAGTGGGGGGGTCCGAGACCCCCTGAGACCCCCCAGCCTTTAAGCCCTGCTGCTATTCTCAGAGTTGCCTCAACTGTGTGAATGGCTACAGGGGTCCTGTTTATGCTTCAAAACAGATCACTAGCAGAACTCCCTGCCCAAAGTGCTCACACATTATTGTGATTCTCAGAGTGGCCTCGTGTAAATGCCCACAGACGTCCCGTTTAGGCTTTGTAACAGATCACTGGAAATGAGAGCTCGCTGCCCACAATGCTGACACACATTATTGCTACAGTCAAAGTGGCCTCAGTCCTGCGAATGGCCACAGGTGTCTCCCTTGGACTCCGAAAAAAAGCACTGGTACTGGGATTTTACTCTCCGCTGTGCTAACACACGGTATTGTTATCCCAGAACTGCCTCAGTCGCATATTTCAGCCTCAGTCCCATTTATGCTTTAAAACAGAGAACTGGCAGTGATCTGTTGTGTCGTCTTTCATAGACAAAAAAGAGCTTATTTGCAATCAAAATTTGATTCGTTGCATAGCAAAGATGTTTAGACAGCAGGAAGCCAATATGGCATCTGATGTCTCTGCTGTACCCACTGAACACGAAGTCGTCTATTAGACATCTAAAAACGTCTTGGCAAGAAGAGCAAGAGGTCTTGTATATGTCTTGGCAAGACGTGATAGTCTAAAACGTCTTGAGTCATCCTGTAGCCGCCCTGTAGACTTCATACCACTCCCTCTTTTTTGCGCTAAAGGACGTCTTGCAAGGCGTCTCCTAGACATCTTAGAGACAGCTGCAAGACGCCCAAGACATCAGTTGTCTCTTTGAGATGTTTTCTAGACGTCTACGTCAAGATATCTTAAGATGTCTTGCAAAGATGTCTCATAGACGTCTAGCGTAGCCCAAGACGTCTCTAGCTTAGTCGAGCCGTTTCAAGCCGGCTAAAGTCAAATTTGGGGGTTTTACGTGCCAAACCAACGACGGGCATCTGGCACGCCCCAGCGGAGGACTGAGGATTAATTTCGACCACCTGGGGATCTTTTGACGTGCAACCGAAAGCTCGGTTACACAGCGTCTTCTCCGCAATAAACCTCCGTCAGATTGCGGGCACCCCGGCCGGGATTCGAACCCGCCACAGCAAGCCGGCTACAAGACGCCTTGTGCTCAGGGGGTAGATGGGCTGCAAACTTTTGTTTTCGCGAAGTTCAACTCGATACTGGTAAATCATGGCGCAGTGCAATATATATCCTACGTAGAAATGCTTCCAGTCCAAGCTGTGTTATGGAACCGGAAATCGACTACAGCTGGAGCTCGAAATCTATATTACCAGCCGAATTCCAGGCTGTTTCCACCCAGGAATGGACAAATTTCTTGCTGGAAATTAGATTTTTCCTGATTTA